CTGGCAGTTCATTTGCATTTGCTATGACATTAATCCAGTATGTTGGAGGAGATTCCATGCCACACAAAGCATTGCAACAACTTTTGAAATCTGGAGCTGCTGGTCTGGATCCACTCTATAAACAAATTCTTTCCTCTGCTTCTGGGACAATGGCTCTTTATCAGATTCTTGGAACAATCATGATTCTGGAGGATAACAAATCCATCTCTTTTCTTAGCTCCCTCCTCAATCTTCAGCATGAGGAGGTTATTCATGAGCTACTGGGGGTACAGTCAATTATCAAAATTCCTGGGGATGATAATGAGCCTATCATGCTCTATCACACATCTCTGCGAGATTTTCTGACCCTCAAATCACGATCAGAGCAATATTTCATTGATCCTCCTCTGCGACACCTTCATCTGGCCATACACTGTTTGGAGCATCTGGCAAAATATCCTTCAAAGGACTTTTTTGATGCTCATGTCGCCAACTATGCTTGCTATAAATGGCCACACCATATTCTGTTAGGATTTGAGGGCAAGCAGACATTAAATGTGGATGAAACAATCATGACCTCTTTGGTAACTCTCATCAAAATTTTACTGACATTTCATAGTAAGACATGGTATAATACCATGGTGACTTTTGGAACTCGTGGGAGACTGAGGGTGTTAAAGTCCATGAGAAAGGCAAAGGATTTGTTTCAAGTTAGTAATTACAATTTTATGATGGTCATCACACTCTAACATGTACAAGACATCACAGGGGTCAATTGCTACAAGAAATTTGACAGAGCTATTTCAACAAGTTATTGATTTTCATGAAGTAAGACTTTATAATATTGGGATATATTCACTGATTTATCAAGATCTTCCAACAGACAGTAAGTAACCAGAAAATAATACTGCTCAAAATTTAACCAGTAAGTTGAAAAGGAGGTATGTGTACCTATAAAGTATCAAAATAAAATATTGACCCATTTTACAGCATGTAAGCCAAGCCACAATAACAATTTATGGGTGTTGATAAAGAACAGAAAGTAAGAACAAAACAATTACCCAGCAAAGGAGAGTTTTATTCTTCTTGTCGTTTTTTCTTGCAGAATGTATGTCTTCAAATTGATCAAGTTTTAATATATTCTAATAGTTCTCACTAGTTTGTGGGCAATTATTTTACATGATACATCACATCTTATCATCAGCTGTCTATTTCTTTCAGATGGTAAGTAATAACTGTTGATCATGCTGCTTATACAGCTGATATGCTTGTTTATAAATCCAGGCGGTGAGATGTTGTCTATTTACAATGCCTCTATATGCCTATAACAGATTTTTTTAGTGGGTAAGTAATTATGATTTCTTTTGTTCTGACTCAATTCTGTGCTGAACCTACTATTTTTAGGCGGTAAGATGTTTCCCTATCAATTATTCCCTCTTCTGGTGACTCATTCTCTTGCCTTCCTTTTCTCATGCACTATTCTGGTGATCATGATGTACTTTGTTTC